CCAGGGGGATTGTGGGAAAAAAAAATCCAGGGGGATTGTGGGAAAAAAAATCCAGGGGGATTGTGGGAAAAAAAAAAAAACAAACCCAGGGGGATTGTGGGAAAAAAAAATCGATTTTCGAGTGGAAAAATTGGGAATTTTGGGGTTAAAAAGTTGGGATTTGGGAAGGAAAAATTGGGAATTTTAGGAGGGGAAAATTGGGAATTTTGGGGGGAAAAATTGGGAATTTTTTGGGGAAAAATTGGGAATTTTGGGGGGAAAAATGGGAATTTTTAGGGGAAAAAATTTGGGATGTGGGGGAGGGAAAATTGGGAATTTTATGGGGGGAAATTTGGGATTTTTGGGTCAAAAATTTGGGATTTCGTAAGGAAAAATTTCGGAATTTTGGGGAGGGAAAATTGGGATTTTTTTGGAAGGAAAAATTGGGAATTCTGGGAAAAAAATTGGGAATTTTGGGAAAAAATTGGGAATTTTGGGGGGGAAAAAAAATTGGAATTTTGGGGTTAAAAATTTGGGAAAAAAGGGATTTTGGGGGAGGAAAAGGAAATTTTGGGGGAGGAAATTGAGGAGAAAATTCGGATTTTTGAGCCTTTTTTTTCCTCATTTTGAGCCTTTTTATTTTTTAATTTTATTTTATTTTATTCTGGGTTTTGCCCCATTTTTTCTCCTCGTTTTGGGGCTTTTTTAATTATTTTATTTTATTTTATTTTATTTTATTTTATTTTATTTTATTTTTACCTGGTTTTTTTTCCCTTTTTTTTCCTTGTTTTGGTCATTTTTTTAAATTTTATTTTCTCTTTTTTCGTTTTTTTTTTTTTCCCATTTTTTTTCCTCATTTTGGGCATTTTTTAAAAATTTCATTTTATTTTCTCTGGGGTTTTTTTCCTTTTTTTTCCCCTCATTTTTGACCATTTTTTTAAAATTTTATTTTATTTTTTCCCTTTTTTTTCTCATTTTTTTTCCTCATTTTGGCCTATTTATTTTTTAAATCAATTCGAATTTTTTCGGGGTTTTTTTTCCAATTTTTTCCTCATTTTCGACCATTTTTTAAAAAAATTTATTTTATTTTTTCTCTTTTTTTTTCTCATATTTTTTCTCATTTGGGCCCATTTTTTTTTTAATTAATTCAAATTTTTCCTGTTTATTTTTTCTTTTTTTTTCTCATTTTTGACCATATTTTTTTTAATTTTTTTTTTATTTTTTCCCTTTTTTTTCCCCATTTTCCCCTCATTTTCCCCTCATTTTTTTTTAATTAATTCGAATTTTTCCTGTTTATTTTCCCATTTTTTTCCTCATTTTCGACCATTTTTTTTAAATTTTATTTTATTTTTTCCCTTTTTTTTTCCCATTTTCCCCTCATTTTGTCCCATTTTTTTTAATTAAATCGAATTTTTTCTGGGTTTTTTTTTTCTTTTTTTTCCTCATTTTCGACCATTTTTTTTAAATTTTATTTTATTTTTTTCTTTATTTTTTTTCTTTTTTTTTCCTCATTTTGGCCCATTTTTTTTTTTAATTAATTCGAATTTTTTCTGGTTTTTTTTCCAATTTTTTCCTCATTTTCGACCATTTAAAAAAAAAATTTAATTTATTTTTTCCCTTTTTTTTCTCATTTTTTTTCCTCACTTTGGCCCATTTATTTTTTAATTAATTCAAATTTTTCCTGTTTATTTTTTCTTTTTTTTCCTCATTTTCGACCGTATTTTTTTTAATTTTATTTTATTTTTTCCCTTTTTTTCCCCATTTTCCCCTCATTTTCCCCTCATTTTTTTTTAATTAATTCAAATCTTCCCTGTTTATTTTCCCTGTTTTTCCCTCATTTTCCACCATATTTTTTTTAAATTTTATTTCATTTTTTTCCCTTTTTTTTTCCCCATTTTCCCCTCATTTTTTTTTTATTTTTTCCCATTTTTTTTCCTNTTTATTTTATTTTATTTTATTTTATTTTATTTTATTTTATTTTATTTTATTTTATTTTATTTTATTTTTACCTGTGTTTTTTCCCTTTTTTTTTCCTTGTTTTGGTCATTTTTTTAAATTTTATTTTCTCTTTTTTCGTTTTTTTTTTTTCCCATTTTTTTTCCTCATTTTGGGCATTTTTTAAAAATTTCATTTTATTTTCTCTGGGTTTTTTTTCCTTTTTTTTCCCCTCATTTTTGACCATTTTTTTAAAATTTTATTTTATTTTTTTCCCTTTTTTTTTCTCATTTTTTTTCCTCATTTTGTCCCATTTATTTTTTAAATTAATTCGAATTTTTTCTGGTTTTTTTTCCAATTTTTTCCTCATTTTTGACCATTTTTTAAAATTTTATTTTTTTTCCTTATTTTTTCTCATATTTTTTCTCATTTGGGCCCATTTTTTTTTTAATTAATTCAAATTTTTCCTGTTTATTTTCCCATTTTTTTCTCATTTTCGACCATATTTTTTTACATTTTATTTTATTTTTTCTCTGGTTTTTTTTTCCCCATTTTCTCCTCATTTTGCCCCATTTTTTTAAAAATTAATTCAAATTTTCCCTGTTTATTTTCCCTGTTTTTCCCTCATTTTCCACCATATTTTTTTTAAATTTTATTTTATTTTTTCCCTGTTTTTTTCCCCGTTTTCCCCTCATTTTCCCCTCATTTTTTTTTTATTTTTTCCCATTTTTTTTCCTCTAAAATCCCGAATTTTGCTCCCCAGTCCCCCCCCAGCCCCCCTGGATCTGCCAGGGAAGGTTTCCCAGCTGGAGGCGATGCTGAAGCAGCTGCACAGCGACCTGGAGAAGGTGAGAGCGCCCAAAATCCGCTTTTTTCACCCCAAAAAAATCCCCTTTCTCCCCCCAAAATCCCCTTTTTTCCCCTCCCCAAAGTTCCCAATTTTTCCCCCAAAATTCCCAATTTTTCCCCTAAAATTCCCAATTTTTCTCCCCCAAAATTCCCAATCTTTTCCCTAAAATTACCAATTTTTCCTCCTCAAAATTCTCATTTTTTCCCCCAAAAATTCCCAGTTTTTCCCCCCAAAATCCACTTTTTCCGCTCTAAAAAAATCCCATTTTTTCACCCAAAATCCCCTTTTTTTCCCTCCCCAAAATTCCCAATTTTTCCTCCAAAATTCCACATTTTTTCCCCCAAAATTCCCAATTTTTTCCCTAAAATTCCCAATTTTTCCTCCCCAAAAATCCCATTTTTTTCCCCAAAAAATTCCCAATTTTTCCTCCTCAAAATCCACTTTTTCCACCCCAAAAAATCTCATTTTTTCACCCCAAATTCACTTTTTTCCCCTCCCCAAAATTCCCAATTTTTCCTCCAAAATTCCACTTTTTTTCCCCCAAAATTCCAAATTTTTTCCCTAAAATTACCAATTTTTCCTCCCCAAAATTCTCATTTTTTCCCCCAAAAATTCCCAATTTCCCCTCCCAAAATTCCACATTTTCCCCCCCAAAATCCCCTTTTTTCCCCTCCCCAAAATTCCCAATTTTTCCCCCAAAATTCCACTTTTTTTCCCCTAAAAATTCTCATTTTTTCCCCCAAAAATTCCCAATTTTTCCCCCAAAATCCACTTTTTCCACCCCAAAAAATCTCATTTTTTCACCCCAAATCCCATTTTTTCTCCTCCCCAAAATTCCCAATTTTTCCCCACAAAATTCCCAATTTTTTCCCCCAAAATTTCCAATTTTTTCTCCCCAAAAAATTCTCATTTTTTCCCCAAAAAATTCCCAGTTTTTCCGCCCAAAATCTGATTTTTTCACCCCAAAAAAATCCCCTTTCTCCCCCCAAAATCCCCTTTTTTTCCCTCCCCAAAATTCCAATTTTTTTCCCCCCAAAATTCTTATTTTTTCCCCAAAAAATTCCCAATTTTTCCCCTCAAAATCCACTTTTTCCACCCCAAAAAAATCCCCCTTTTCCCCCCAAATCCCATTTTTTC